AAAGAAACACAATAGTAAACACATAAACTCGAAGTATTAACTACAATTGTGTAATGCTATTTAAAAATTACCCAATGCAATACAAAAGAAAATGAAAGCTCAGCTCAATGAACTCTGAGTTGACCGCAAGTTCAACAGTTAACAATGCACAGCAAAAAATCAAACATTTTCTGCGCAAAATAATATGATATTAAATTCTGAATGAAATCTTGTCACCTGAATTTGGCCTTGGAATTTTTAAATTGATTTTTTTTAAAAATAATGGCTTATTAAAAAAAAAAATTTCAAAACTTTTTTTGCTTAGACCTATAGTTTTAAATATACATTTTTTTAACAATAAATTTTAAAAAATGTAATTTTTATGCTTCTACCATAAGAAAATACTGAAATAATTGCTGTGAGCATTAAAAAAATGTGAAAAGCTCAAAATTTAGATATTTTACAACGTTTTTATAAAAAATATCTTTAATTCTATAATCATGTTTATTTAAAAATAGATGTAATGGCAAAATCCTGTAAAATTATTGACGTTGAAAAAAATGATTTAATTAAATTTCATGTATCTTCATCAATTGTCAAGTTATAGAGGTATACTGACCAATTTATATTTAAAATCAATAGATTTTTCTTGTTCATTGATAAAATTTATGTAAGAGTTTTTGATTATATCAGTTTAATTTTTATCAAATTTTATTCAGTATTAGTGTAATATTCTTTTTTTTCATACTTTCAAATATCAGTCATAATGTGTTTCAGTACACGGCTTTTTATTTTTGTAATAATGAGTTGACAGTTTATAATTCTATAAAGTTCATAAATAAGTCCGAATTAACAGAATAATTAACATTTTTAATTTTGTTGAATGTTTAACACGTATGTCTTTTTGCACGTTAGTTTTTAGTCTGTGACAGTTATTAATTATATTTGATTAAAATGAAACAAATGTTGTTAAAAAAATGGGTTTTATTTAATATTTTTGTATAAGAAACTGTGTTTCCATATAATTAAATTCATATTTAATCGTCGTTAATATCTTGATAGAGCTAATTGATTTTACGGACTAAATTAATTAGCTCTAATAAGTCTATGATTCTAATATTCTGATATATGTTTATTAAGTGTTTTTTTCGACTAGCTTTATTAATTTACCAATAAAATTTTAATTGAAAATGTCGCATGATAACTGATAAACACTCAACTAAATTATTATTGTTTAGCTAAAATATTCCACTAATGAAACTAAAGTTAATTATTTAGTACACATCTAGTATTAAACTCATATGAGGTTGCCCTATACGTAGTAAAGTTCTGATTAATTATATTGACTCTAAAAATTTATTAAGTGTGAATAGTATAAACTATGTGCTTGATTAGAGTATATGGCAATTTATAGTAATATTTTACAAAAACATCCATTGCTCAAAAATAACCTATCCTATCAAAAAAAATTAGTGAAACTAAATGTCAAATACGACAATGAGATACTTAAAATTAAATTTTTAAAACTAAAATATTGTTTTTAATATATCGTGTTTGTTTTTTATTTTTTAACAAAAATATGTGAAAAAACTCAATTTTAAAATTATTTTAAATTTTAGAAAATATTCGTATTCTATTCGTGTAGTTCGGTTACACCACTTACGAAACATTTGCCCACTACTAACCTTTCTGTTTTATAAGTGCACTATGCCTGTAACGTGGTGTTGCCAGAAATATTTATTTCAGTTAATTACAATTATCNGTGCCTGTAACGTGGTGTTGGCAGAAATATTTATTTCAGTTAATTACAATTATCGTACAACACGCTATGATATTACGGTACCACGTTATATTGAACGAAATGGCGTGTAAATGTGTTAATTATTATTGCTTTTCACGTAAAACTGCATCTGTTAGTTGATGGGGTGATTTGAAGTGTTGAGTTTAATTGAGCTATCACGATGGGGTTTGTTCAAATGGAACGATCGTGTAATGAAGTGCGACAATAATTGTCTCCTTTCATGATGGGGATGCATTGCGCACTCAAAGCTTACAATATTTTATAATCAAGTTTTCGTGAGAATTTGCGACATGTGCTGTCTTATTTAACTTGTACTGTATATATTTGGTGTGGTGATGAAACTTACAAAAATTCATTAGCAAAAAATTCTTGCTTCTGTTAATTTCTAGTTTTTTATGTAAATATATCGTCGAAATATGATAACCATCAAACTTTCGGAGACAATTTAGGTTAAATATGAAAATATTTATTCATAATGTTTATAAAAATTTTTGTATGCTCCGACAAGGTTTAGTTATGTCATGCGGTAACATGATGTCTTTTATAATAGGAAACGGTAGGGGGTATTTTTTTTACCATCCAAACATCCAAATTTGAAATTTTATAATAGGAGTACAGACAAACGGATTAAGTCATGCGTCATGTTTATTGTATTTTTGCTATGACAATATAAACTTGAAGTGAGATTATGAAAAACGATTATAAAAGGTGTTAAATCCTCGCTAATGAGTGAGGTCTACCCTCCATGTTATCCTGTTTTGTTATTATTATCATATAAATATTGTCCTATTACAAAACAATATTTTGTAGTTGAGAAGATATGAGGATTTTCGATAAGCATCGGGCTCTGATGGCCACTGGTTTTATTTGTGTTCACGAGACCATCTTCACCTTCAAGCATGAAAACCTTTTATTCGCTCAATGCGTTTGTATAACAACTAGATAGGCAAAACAAATTAGTTTTACTATTCAGATTATGTTTTGAAAACGGTTTTGTATCTCTATTGATATATCATAACTAACTGTAGCTCCTGATGAATTTTGGATTAAATAGATTAGTATTATTATTTATTAATGGGTTAAAACTGTGTCAAAAATATGTGGATTTTATAGAAAATATCATTTGTTTTTTATTGATTTCCTCAATTATTTCAAGTGTATGTTGTAAGATGATTTAATTTATTAACACGTTATTTCGATAGTGAATACTATCAGAGGTATACCTTCGGTCTGTCCGATGTTTCACTACCTGGTGGGTTTTGTTGACTCAACGTGTCCCTTTGGTGTTTTACTAGATTTTAGCGCCACCGCAATGAAACCACATAAAGTGTTCCTAACTATTAACTGTTAATCCTTAACAATAATTTTACCATGGCAAACTCATACTGTTTGCACATCAACTCAATATTTTCATTCGGCAATAAAAATTTCTTTCTTTTTTTCATTTACCTATGTGTTAATTCATATGAGCACTCATAAATCATATCACTTTTGTATCTCTGCCCGTCTTCTTGAAGACATAATCTGGTTATTGTATCTAAACACTATTGAAAATGTATATATTGTCTGTTTAATTATACTTACTTTTATTATACATTACAGTATTAACAACAACTATCAGAATTTTTGACCAACCTTTACGTTTTCGTATTTATTTTCTGGGTATTATCAATATGAAAGCATGAGACCCGCTGAATTCGGTGTATTTGTACCTATACAACACTTCGCCTTAGTTAATTGAAATTTAGCTTGTCTTTTGATGTATTTTGTAATGATTTTTTGGAGTTATCCTTGTGGTTACATAAAAATTATTATCAATGTTTTATTTTGCATATTAACTATGTCAGACGCTATAACCAATGCTGAAAACTTTACCAATGTTGTCTGGTTTTAATTATCAATGCGAATCGCACTGTAACGAACGCATATAGAATTTATTGCAGCGTGAAGATCACAACTTGTTTTGACACATGGGCGGAGTTTCCCTTACAATATTTTTAAAAAACAAATAAGTTTTAGCAATTTACGTTTGATTGTTAGTAGCATTTTTTCTCATCACAAAGCATTGATAAACAATTAGCGTATACTTTATACATAGTCGGATAGCATTTTAGTTGTAATCAAGCAACATGCCCTACCTACAAATCGAATAACTGTGAAAAATAGAAAGATCATATTGTTTTAGGGCAATCTTATGACGGCCACGGTATCATACTGTGCTATTAGACAATAATCACATTATATTATTATAAAAGTTGTACAATGGAAGTGAATATACTCGATTAAATTAAATAGACACCTGTTAATATTGTTTCACGGTCACGATAAACGACTGATAATTAATTTACTACAACGTGGAACATCATATCGCCACACAAAGCCAATTAATTAGACTTCTCGTGCTCCGTACGATCCTCTGTAGCTGACCGGCCTATCAAAAATAATACATGTTTAGCTACGGTCTTTGCTGGTTTAGGGTGTTAATTTTATACACCCTATTTTTACTTACCCTCTGTTTTATTAATTTAACAATGATACGTTAACTATTAATAATAACTATGGACGTGAATCCAAAGTTTTCGTTTTATTATTTAAAATGTTCAATATTTTAATGTTTTATCAAATTTGACTTTATGCGTAAACTTTTGTTTGCATATCTTGTGCTAGTCATCTACAAAACATGTTTGCTTCAGGAGTGTATTTAAGGGCAATGATAAGAGCGATTGCCCCCTAGACCAACGCCATCAATAATTTTTAAAACCCATATTTATGACTTATAGTTCAAAATAAATTTGACCATTAGTTTAACTTTTAGCAAAAAAAATGTCTCTAGCATGTTTACCAAAGTAAAACAAGTCAAGTTACACCCATCTCTAAAATGAGTTCTAAATATGACTCTGGTTTGATTTGATAATTACTTGGATGACTAATAATTTAATTTGTATAAATACAACCTAAAGTGTTAACACTACTATTGCCGTGAGAATCGAAGTGTGTCCGTTTTTTTGCTATAATAACACTTTAAAATATTTTTATTGCTTGTTTGTATTGTTTTAAATTTTTAAAACTCAATTTTTTCGAACGGTTTTGTATTTTTTAACACACAGAAATTCATATAATTTTCATAATAATGAGCTGATGTGGTCCTAGGTTATGGTTAAAATGTTCAAAAGAGTTCAAATGTTTTATGTTCAATAAGTTTTCCATTGTTTTGTTTCAGCTGTACACTGCAGGCAATGAAACGGACAGACGGAGTTTCCTGGATTCGCTATTCAGCTTTATGCAGGAACAAGGTGAGTAAAACGAAAATACATCGTTACATTATGTTATACGACTTTTTTATTATCATTATTATTTCATACAAAATTACTACTCGGAACGCTATTCGGTTATACATATATATATATATATATATATACGTGACCAACTACAAAGTACACAAATAAAATTAACTCTAATGAAGTAATGGATATATTTTTAATGACATTTGTTAGCCTGCCTTACAAAGTAATGATGATAATTTAACAAGAACAGTATGATAAAAAAATTTCAACTGTGTTGGTAATACTCGTTAATGATAAATATTAAAAGTATGTTTTTAGAATTAATTAGCAAGTTCAACAAATAGTAGAATTTACTAGGACTATTATTTATAAGTAATTTTTCAATTATCTTTGAAAATCGTTTAAACGAAAGCTTATTTTATAAACTATAATTTTATTTCAAAATATTTGTATTGTTCTCGAGTTACACCAAATGAGATTTTAACAATCGTGATCTCCTTCAGCTGTAAATATACGACATCTTTGTACGGTTCATTTCACGGACTCGGTTGACCGTAAAATATCAAAATCAAATGTGTTATAAGAACGTTGAATAATTATCTGATACACAAAGAGCACTTTTTAGATTTACGGTCGTAGCCACACACTCACAACTCATACGTATTCGCGTCTATCCTCAATAAAACACGTCTCTGTGATAATATACGGATTTTCGGTTTTGTTTTATTTGGCTATAAAATGAAAAACTACTATTGTATGTATTTTATTTTAATAATAATGCACTGGGACGCTCTTTCCGTTTATAATCCTCAAGTCTTACACTATATAATATATTATTCGACACTGCGAAACACAATGCTAGTTTCTGACAAGCCTATAATAATAATCCAGCGGCCATGATGCTGTTATTATTTTTTCTTTGCATCTTTCATCCGTAATTCTTGTCTGTTTTATTTTATAACAGAGTACACTTAAAAAAATGACTGGTTTTGTGCGGTTAATGATCACAGAAAATATTGGAATTACATTCCAAATTAAGTTGAGTTTGCTGTAATTTCGAAAAAAAATTAAAAAACTCTAAGTCTCACAATCGATTGTGTGTATAACTATGACAACAGTTTGCAGTTTACACGTTGCAATAATTGATGCTGAAAAACACTATTTATATAGTATTTTAACTGAAACATGAATAGGTTTTAGAAGGTGTACTTTAACGACGGACATAATGGACTGCTAGAATATTAATAATTGGTATGAATGTGGCTTAATTTGTGAATATTTTATATTTGAATGTTTTTACGGTGAATTTGACAAATTAAAAAAAAACATATTTATATTGTAAATGCGCGCCTGTGGTTAATTTATTATTCCAATCACCTTGTAGAGAATTAATAATAACCGAATTCTAAAACTAATATGTTTGGTTGATTACGGGTTACAATTGTTATTTAATTAGTCGCTAGTACATTTATGTAAATATCAATTTTCGAGTCATTTCAATTATTGTATTTTTAGAATTTAATACTAGGCGATTTTATACAGGTATATCAACATAGAAAAATGTTTCTATTAAAAAAACTTATATGTATTTGTCATTAAAAAACTAGCATAGTCGTCTATAATGATAATTAAACGCACACATAAGCAAGTTAAATACAATTACAAAATAGGCGTGTGGCGATGAATTATATAATTTGTAAAATGCTATCATTGTTAAATAGATAATTGCTAATTCGCCCAGGTATAATAAAATTAATTCATACATTTCAACTGAAGCAGTATTCTGGGCGACATATGTGTGCGTTATAATTTCACCTGCTCTTAATATCAACTGTAATTTTCATTTTGAATAATTTTATAAATTAAATTGTTTTTTGTAAGTCAGAAGTAATTTTTCAATAAATAGTTATAGTAGTATACTTATGTTAGTTAAAATAATTGATTAGAAAATTAGACAATTCTATATTTTATTAGAATTTAAAAATGTATCAAAATAAAATATTCTCTAATTTAAATAGAAAAAATTCTAAACATTGTTATTACAAATATAATTGTTATTGAACAAATTGTTACATAAATGTTCACTATAGTTTCTCTTGTTGTATATGCAAAATGTTAGTATTTTTTTTGAAGTAAAAATGTTTTGTTTAGTCTAAATCATATTCAAAAAACTGATATTATGTAAAAAAACTGTGTAATTATTAGTTGAATGATGTTAAACATATTTGATTATTACTATGAACAATAATATAATTAAATTTTATCTTAATTTTTTCATAAGTGATGAAATTTAAGGTTTTGTTTTTTTTTATAGAAATTAAGATATATTAAAACTGTAAAAAATGTTCAGTATATTCGTGTTACGTTAATAAGTGAACAAAAATGAAATATTATTTCTTTCGTGTGTGTTTTTTATTCATAATTTACGAAGACACTTAATGTTGCACAATATTTAAAGTAATTTTAAAAGGCTTTATTTTAGTAACTAAATTATGTTTAATAAATTTAAATTTCATAGTTTTGGAGGGGAAATGTCCGTGTGAAAACTTTGAAGTAGAGTTATTGTTAAATATACACTCAACAAAAAAAAAAAAATTTATTATTTTTCTAATAAATTTTAACTTATATTTTTTGCTGAGCTGAAATTATCTTGGATAATTTATAGACATGTAACGTCACTAAGGGTTAATTTTACCCCTACAAAATGTTTTATTTATTTTATTTTATTTTATTTTGTAAAGCATTCCGACAAAATTAGCACATTACAAAATTTGTACCTAGATTCTGTACAGACAGATTTTCACTGATCACTGTCAAATAGCTCAAATCCATTAGTGATAAATAAAAATGTATGTTAATATTTGTGTTTAAAAGGTTGGTGTATACTTGAATGTATATGTTCCGTTATAGTTTTAATTTTAATTTAGATAAGGTTAGTAATTCAACTCGGCAAAACAATAACTAATATTTATCAGATTCGTTTATTATATTCCTGTAAAAAATTATTTAGTGTGTCGAAAAATTCTAGAAACGTATAACTGACCTCAGAGTGTACGCGACCATAAAACAATAGCAAAGACATTAGAAAATGTAAAATAAACAATTTATTCGCCATATTGTTGTATTTCCACACTTAATCACGTCACGTTAATACACTTTGCTACTGGCTAGTTAAAAATTATCTTACATAAATTATACAGTATAACTTAAACTGAACCTAGGAAACATTAATTTAACAGAAAAATACTGATAATAATATATTGTGTCGTTTACTACATTTTACATTTGTTGATAATGAGCATAGTACTTTTTAGTATTCAAATTTAACACACACGTAAACAATTTACCTTAGATCATTTAATTTAAGATTTGTTTATTGTTTATCTTGAAAGTTTCAATAACATAGAAAAAAGTTAATGAAAAAGGGTAAACTTTTCATTTAATTTTGTTTTATGACAATATTTCTATTTATTATTAATTATCATCTTTTTTTTTATATAAAATAATATCTTTTAAGTCAGAAATTTAAATTGCTTAATAGATTTGTCTAAAATTTTCTGACTTTAAAATTAAAAATATTACTAAGAAATTTAATAAGAAAATAATACATAGTTTTATATAACGGTTGTGTATTAAATAAAACTGCTTTTCACGTTTACAAATTTTTATGGTTTTTGTGGTTGTAACTAATTTTTTAAATTTCCAAGCTTTTTCGAAAAGGTTATTTAATTAATTCATTTTTGAATTATTTGAAATAGGTGATATTGTGTCAGTTGAAACGTTTAGTATTTTTAATGTCCGAAAATATCCTATAAAGACTATAAACTAGCGATGACGACAATGGTCGTAGACAATAGATGTTGATGATGATAATAATAATAATGTCTTAACACACAGCGGTGGTGCAAGGAGTGTCTATTGTTATTAGTAATATGGAAATCAATTACTACTCGCATTAATATTGTACGTTAACTAAAAAAATAATGATTATTGTAATTAGTTCGGGTTTGGTATAGTTAAATATATAACATTTATTACGTTTTTTATAATAATATTCTCGTTACCCGTTTATATGGCTGCGCGAGTACTTCGATATTGATGGACAGGTTAACAAGCAACAGTACTTATAAATACGATGACCGTAATGACGCTGTTTTTAATAATGTATACAAAATATTTATCCCAAATCCGAAACAATTAAGTATAATTTTTTAATTTTCAAATGTAAATGTACTCGTTTATCATTATTGCTTTTTATCCTTTATCCTCTGAACGTTTGCATGAGGTTGCGTTGTACTGGACAAAAAAACAACACATCCGATAAGGGCTTTCACCTCCAGAATACAATTAATAATGATTATATTGTGCAGCGAAGACTAAGTATTGAAATATTTCTTTGTCGAATTTTATACTATTAAAATTATTAAATTATTAATATATTAAATAAACGCATTACATCATCAAAAGATACCGCGTTTCATAGTTGTATTATATCTTATAGATGTGAATATTTTTATTTATTTCTGATCTCATCTTATTGCTTTAATCTGCCTTGGGCAGCATCAAAAATTTTCGAACCTAACACATTTGTTTCCTTCAACTGTAACCATGTACAGGGTACATTTTTAAGCTAACATAATATAACTTCAATAGGCTTTTGATTATAGCTCGAGTCAAGATAATTTTTTTTATACACTAATAGTATTGAATGATGAAATTATAACGTTATGGCGACGATTATTTTATGGCTTAGATTCAACTAAAACGATATGGGTAAACACACTTATTCGATTGAAATTTGAAACCTCAAATAATGGCTATTAAAAACAGTTATCCGCTGGTATGAACCCATCCTGTACCTTTAATGTACAGCGGTTGGTTGAATTATTGTGAGTCTTTAGTTCGATCCGATCATATCCTAGGGCGGTGATACATTACAAGTTGGTACGTTTCCCCGAATAATTAATTACACGCACAATTCTATGAGGAGTTATTTCTAAAAAAATAAT